GTAAGTTATGGATTTTAACATTCACGGGTATCTCTGTTACCTATCCCCGCATATGTTAAGGTGCCGACTGCAGTCCCGTGACTATCTAAAATAACATACAGTGGTCCTCAGTTAACCAACCAATGTCCAGTCATTCGTTAACCTTATTTTGTTAAATGAAACCATTGTTTAATGGGATTTTGGGTATTGGTTCCAGCTCATCTAAAATTACATACAACTAGTAAAAATGCACGCTACTTTGAGGTGTGCATGTAGAAGGCTCCTGGTTGAGATGATGGGAATTAGAAGTGGGGGTGGAGGAGAAGGAGAAGAGAAGGCATTGGGGTGGGAAAGAAGTCACCCCATGCCTATTTACCCATAAAATTTTAGTTCATGTGCAATTCAAGATTATTTTCTTTTAAATCAACACTGCACTGCATTTATATTGTCAATATGTAAAATAAACTTCGAATGACCACAATTGTACTGTAAGAACGTAAAAATAGTTTATGTTCAAGAGAGAGTCAAGCAAGATGCTTCCTCCACTGAGCAGAGACACAAAGTGACACCATTCTGGGGGAGCGTGCTGTTTAAGACGCTAAAAACTAGTTCCTTGTACAGTGGGGTATGCTATAACGAACGGATCCTACTACGAATATTCCTATAACGAACGGTTTTACCTATAAAATTGAGAATGCTATAACGAACGCAACTCCTACAACGAACGCGGATGAATACGGGACTATTTCGCCTGGCGCATGAATATTGTTGTACCGCGACCCACAACAAGAGCGTCAGGCGCCATCTTTGTCTCATTGTGTAGCCAGTGCACCACTGTTATTGTTGAAATTTCGTCTTTTGATGTGGAAATTCGCGTTATTTGTATAACTATTTTGTTATACAAGTATACAATTGTAACAATGAGTCGTCCAAAGCGAGTGAGAAAGCTAATAACCCTTGAAACTAAGAAAGAAATTGTAAAGAAACGTGAGAATGGAAGAAGCATTGCGAAACTTAGTGATGAATATGGGATGGCTAAATCGACTATATGTACGATTTTGAAGAATAAAGAGGAGTTAAAAACTGTGCAAGTGGCTAAGGGAATCTTTAGACTTAGCAAAGCAAAGTGTAATGTGATTGAAGAGATGGAAAATTTACTCTTAGTGTGGATAAAGGAGAAAGAAATGGCAGGTGGTAACATTAGTGAAGCTATAATTTGTGAGAAGGCTAAACAATTGTTTGAGGACCTTAAAGCCAAGACTCCCAGTGGAAGTGATAGTGATGTGCCAGTGTTTAGGGGTACCTGCATGCTGAATAACACTAAGGTAAGATAAAGTACCGTATTTTTTACATTTTCCACAGAATTTTTTCAGTGTTAAGCGGTTGTATTTGGGGGCCTGGAACGGATTAATCCTATAACGAACGAATGCTATAACGAACGAGGTTCTGGAACCAATTACGTTCGTTATAGCATACCCCACTGTACTTGAATTATGTTAAATAATTGTTAAAATGACTAAAAACTTTAATATAAGACTTGGAAAATTATTGAATAGTACAACCTTCTTGATATTTACTCAAATGGTAACGAATTTAAGCCCTAAAACCGATTACTGTATTGGCGGACTAATACTACAGCTGGTGAGCAGGCGAAAACAGGCGAAAACATGTTGGGAAAAATTCGTAAAGAATTTTTTCGTTAACCGAAGTGAAGAATCTTATGGAAGGTAATTCGTTAACCGAAATTTAGTTAATCGAGGCGTTCGTTAACCGAGGGATCACTGTAGTATCGGATCACCGGGACGTTAAACAAATTTTTGGTCTCTAAAGTTCAGCGACGTGGTACCGAAACAACGTTAGGCGGTCGAAGTTAAGCGAGGACTTACTGAACATATATGTAAGAGATTAGTCCATTAAATTGAAGTCTGTTAAAAGGAGATTTCACAGTATTTTCTAATTTTTCAGTACTGACACTGACCATAATAATTTAAAAATACTGTACCAACCTGTGGGTACCGTTGACAGATATCTTTTATTATTGCAGGCTGTAGATCTACCCCCTTTCTGTACTGGAGACGGCTCATCACAATAACATTTACTGCAAATAATAGTTTTTTCTCAAGAGATTGTATTTTAGTATTCAAATGCTAATAAATTTTTTTCACTTATGACTGGTTCCTAATAAGTTGTAGCATAAATTGAAGTTTCAAACATACACTATGGACAGATATTCCTTAGAGTAATCAATACACCTAATGAGACAAATTACTTGATTTCCAATATTTTTTTACTGTATTCTATTTCACTCAATTATTAAAAATATTTAAAGCTTGTAAATTTCAGTTTTGTATTCATTTGATAAGTACAGTGATGTCGCATCTTACGCGCATTTAACCTACACACATTCAACTTTACACGCCTGGCCTAAGAAAAAACAAAAAAAACAAGTGAGTGTAGACGCATATGGCTGGGGGAGGTACTTCCACCTGCGCCTTCTTCTCCTGGATCAACATCAAGCCCAGACGTCCCCTCAATAATGTTGATGGGGGATGAGGAAGACTAATCATCAGAGTGTGTACAGTATCCATCATCATCTCATCATTCATTATATGGGTGCTGTACTAATCATCATTGTCATTGTAACAAGAAGATCCAGGATGAATGGTGAGTGTTCAGGTTTACTTACAGCAGAGGTGGTTGTGTGGTGGCATTTAAACTGAAATAGGCTTAACCAGTTGTCGCCAGATACGCTAGTGACAAACGTCTCACTGTTTCCACACTTACGATCACCTCCCACATGAAATACACACCCGTGCTCTTCATATTTCTTATTTTATAGTCTTCTATCATATTTTCTTCATTTCCAAGTCACATTAGAGTATTAAAACTATTTTTCCACAACTTTTATAACATCATTATAATGGAAGCCCCTCGAAATCGAGGATGACAGGCCCAAGGGCCTCCTTAGCGTGAATTTGTTAAGGTGTAGAAGCTGTCGCCAACACAACAACCACACCCCAAGTTAACAAGCTGCATGACCCAGTGTCAAGGAATAGTCCAAGAAGACTGGACAACTCGCCAACTGCACTGGCTAACCATTACCCCAGAATACGATCCGCAAATCGATTAACATCCAGGTTCCCAATTACTGCTGGGTAGACAGAGGCAAATGGCGTAAAGAAACTTGCCCATAGTTTCACCCTGCCCGAGGATCGAACTCGGCTCCGCTCGCTTGCAAGACGAGAATGCTGACCATTACACCACAAGTCGCCACATCATTATATGTAACAATGGCAACATGCATTACCCTCTCCCTCCTTCCCTCCCCGATTCACTAAGGTGGGGCAGGGAGCGGTAAATGGACGAGTTGACGGTCGGAATTTTTTTGTAAGATGGCAGATCAATGGGTAAAGAAAACACTTAAATTCACTATGGTAATGATACTTTTAAATAAATTGAACCAAAATTTTCAAAAACAAGGGTTAAAGTTGCTAAAAAGTCACATGACGCCAAAAACTCTGTGATTGGTTGTGACGTCACTGGCTGGGGCGAGCCGCCCAGCAGGAGGCAGCCAGCTGTGGTGCATGTGTTGCTCCCAGCATAAATACAGGATATGTGGCCATATACAGTACTGTACAATGTTCAAGCAAAGGACAAAGAGTCGTTGGTGCTTCGTGCCAATGTGAAAGAGTATCGAAAAATCCTCACAAGGCAAAATATTCATCACAGTACTGAAAGATAAGAAGATAAGAAAGAGATGGTGGTTTGCTGCTCGACGGCACTTCCCCATGTCAGAATACTGCATCGACTGTTGTTAAGATCATTTTGATGTGAGTATTGAGGCATACATTATTTTTAGGTTAAAATAAATTACTGCTCAAGTATCATCGTGTGTATTTACTGCTGGCTGCCAAAATAATGCAAAAGACAGATAACTCCAACATGTAAGTTTTCACCACTGTTCTCTATTTCATGTCTGTAAAATGTAAGTTTTCGTCACTGATGTCTATATTTAATGTTGTGGAAGGACTAGGGACGACCATGGCCAGGGGATGGGCTTGAGATGATCAGATGACAGATGTAATTTAAAATGCTTCATAGCTGGATGGCGGAGTTCTTGATAATGCTGTACTCTACAATCATAAAGACATCTACAGGTACTTTTGGTAAAATTCTTTCATCTGCCTTTATGAACCCCGGATGTAGTTGTCCAACCTTCTTGGCTGATCGGCTCTGTAAATAAATATTATTACAGTATAGTCTGCATTTACGCTGTCAATTGAACCCGTGGAGGCCCGCGTAAAACAAGAAACGCAAAAATGAAATAACAGAACATATGGGATTAATTGAAATAGAGACTGGGCCGACCCCCAAACTCCACTTTTTCCGACACAATACGTGCGTTGTAGTAAAAATAACATCTTAATTTTATGATGGTATGCACACATAATTAATAATTAAGAGAAATATCAATAATATTAGGTTTTTTAACACTTACGTTAGTAGAAAAGCTGGGTCGGCACACGTGGATGGCAGCTGGTTCCGAGGCAGAGGGCAGATTAGTTGCCCTCCGGTGAATCACTTTCACTACTCGCAGAGGTTTGCAGGGCCTCCCTGACAAACCCCTCAAAGTCTATATCCTCACTATCACTATCACTGACTTGGGCTAGCTGTGGTTGTGGTGGGTTGCGGGCGAAGAAGTCCTTAATACTACGTTGACGACTAGCATTGATGTTGTCGAGATAGCTCTGGATATACGGCTCCATAACTTTCGTCAGATGGTTATTAGACACTTCATACCGATGCTTGTCTGGGTCGTTGTCACGGATGAGCTTAATTTTCTCCCCCAACTCGATGATTTCCTTCACATTATCATGGCTTGGTCCAGGTAATTCAAGGTTTTTCTCAGGTGATGGGGGTCCCGCGGAGGCCATTGTGAGGGGAATAGTGGGCACAAGAGAGAACTGTATACGCGGACTGAGAACAATGAGAGAGGCTCGGCTAGGTCAGCGACTTCTACCCTGTGGTGGCAAGGCACGTCATGTTGCATTAGACCAATCACAGCTAGCGGCGGAGGGAATGCGTGGGTGGTAAGGAGGCACGGCCCAATCACAGTCCGATACGTCATATGACGTCAGCGATAACGTAAGAGCAGCCTAATGCGCACCACTCACCGTGCCGCTTCCCGCTTATGGTCAAGAATGGACCGCATGGGTAAAAAATGGCGCGGCGGTCTCAACCTCTCCAGCCGCTCGCCGCGTAAATGACCAAATTTACCGCGTAATTAAAGCATTTTCATTCTGGCAAGGCACCGCGTAAATGACCAAACACATAAACAAAAACCGCGTAAATCCAGACTATACTGTAGATAATTAATTGTGCTTTACTGCGCAACACAGTAATACTATTTTGAATGTATAAATATTACTAAGCACATTAACTAATTCAATGGATATTAGCTGCCCATACCACAAATTTCATAGTATAAACATTCCAAACAATTTTGATATTATTTTGGTTTTGGTCATCTGGGGGACCTTAAGATTCTAACTATGGGATTAAGTACCTGTACTTCAAACAATAAGTTATTATCTCTACGGGATTTCTGTCGTAAAACATTTTACGATCGCATAAGAAAATACAGGTCATATGTTAGGTTAGGTTAGGGTAAGATGAGTTACTGTATAAGGTTAGCTTAACATACATCAGTGGGGGGGAGGGGTAGTAACTCAAAACTAGTGATTTCCGACAGGAATGAAGGTCAAAATCGTTCATAACACATCACAAACCATCATAAAAAAAAACATAGTCTGCAGGGATGACCAAAACTTAAAATTTACCCAATATAGCCTATCTTGAATCTAAGCATCCAAATACTTATGGTCGTGAAAGTAAAATTTTACCCATTAATATAAAGATGATATATCCCAGTGGTTCATTAGTGAATCATCAAAACAATAACAGCACTATGTTGTCATGTTTACCTAGCATCAGGCATTCACAAAACAAAGTCCAGACAATGTCATTACTTCTATATTGACTCGTCTCTCCATGCGTGCGTCGTCTGCAGGGTAGGTGGTGACGTCATTGCAAATGGCGGCCCTGTTTCTCAAGAAATAAACTTATCTCGACTATTATAGCTTGACTTTAAACTTTTATTACAAATTATATTTATCGTATCACTCTACAAACGTGGCAGAGTGTATTTCTTGTGTTTACCCAGAACCACCAACTCGCCCATTGCCGCTGTGTGGGTACCCCTCTCATTCTCTCCTCTATCCCCTTCTCTCTACTAATCCTACCCTTACCCCTCCACCTACTCTTCTCTTTCCCCCTCTTCCTCCATTCTCACTCTCTCCCCATTTCCTCCTCCACACTCCCAATACCTCCCTCTTCCTCCTCCTTTTACTCCTCCACTTTTCCTCCCTCCTCTCTACCTCTCTCTCACTACCATATGTCTCCTCACTCTTCTCCATCTCCCCCATTCCCCTCTACCCTTATCCTCACCCTCCCCCTCTCTTTCCCCTCTTTTTCTCCCCATCTCACTCCCAACTCCCTCTTCCCCCACTCTCTTCCCATTTTTCTTCCATCTCCTCTCTCCCTCACATCCCTACCTGGTTCTTTCCTCTCCACTTCACCTCCCCACTTGGCCCTCTCCTCTCCCCCCCAAAACACCCTTTCTCTTCATATTTTTTATTTTATAGTTTTATATTACATTTTCCTTATTTCTAAGCCACATTACAGTACAAGCATATAATTATAACCTTGTACTTTATGGGTGCTTTAGGGATTTTTCGAGGGTAATTTTGACTATATGCATTTTTGCCTTTACGTGCCACGCCCTCTTAAGAACGTGACCCCCGCGTAAGATGTGACACGACCATAATAACACAATCATTAACATAATAAACACAATTCTATGTAACAAGTTTCATTACCTCACCGACCCAAGGCAAGAACTCTAAGTGATCTAGAATCTTGCACAGATGTGGATAAACTTTGCTTGACTCAGTGAGCCTGAAACCTCACTGACATTTAAAGCAACCACCAGGTTTATAGTCTGAAGCAGTGATGTAACTTAGGTTGAATTGGGTGAGGAATTGCTCACATATAACAGCAATTTACACCAATTTGATCGAGCAGTGTAGCCTGCCACATGGACGAGTCAAGCTTCTGACCCAATGTAGGCTCTACCAACAAGTGTTCTGCTGGAGTTGTTGTTGACCTGTAGCCTAAAACTAAGTCACTTACTTTTATTGGCAGGTCTCTGTGATGGATCAGGCTTGAAAATATGGGAATCCAAAGCATTTGGTATGACAGACACCTTCTTCTCATCTACATTGGCTCGTAACACAGTATTTTCTTTTCTGTAAGAGTCATTTTTAATTAGTCATGTACTATACATCAAACCATGCTTTACTACTTAGTCAGTACACATTTATTGTTTATTAAAGAAACTTAGTGTAATCTCTTACCCAACATAGGAGACACAGATGCAGTGGTTGACATCAGCCAAAGACAATGCTAGGAAGTTGTTTGTCACAATAGCAGACATGTCAGCAAAGCCAAACAGCGAATGATCCGTAAACACACTCTGCAATAGTTCCAGTATAGTGCTCTAAATAATTGCTTACCATTCATGTAATATAACATTTTAAAAATCAAGAATTAAGCTAATTATATCCTAGTGTGCTAATACAAAAATAAATACCTTTATAATGTAATTTGCAGTCATAATTAATTAACAAGTACCTAAATTAACCTTTGCTACTGAGTGGGGTGTGCCATAGTCTGTGTACTATATATACAGTCATGCGCCGGTTAATGTCCGATCGCATATACGACGTGACGCCCAAAAAACTGTGGATTGCTAGACCACCACTCCACCTGACGGAGACACGATGATCCTCCCCATACTGGTCAGATATTATTTGTTAAAGGAATATGCTTCCTTCCTTAGGCTTTTTTTAAGCATTTGCCTCCAGGTGTAATGTTAACCTACATCTATTGAGGATAAAATCTTTCACCGACAAATTGAAAATAACACATTTGCTGCAATCAGACATATCTAGTTGCCTCAACAATTGCAACCCCAGTTGCAATTGGGGTTGCAATTTCAAATTCTGTGGCATTACTATGAATAACGAAGTCTCTGGTGCACTCTAAGATTAAGAGAGAAAACGGACGACTCAGGAGTCCTGAAGTGAGAGAAAACGGACTTCTATGACGGGGCACTCAAATAAATAGACATGGCTAAATGTTTTGTGGACTACCCACTGTACAGTATTGATGGTATATTTTTCATCACTTGTATAAACCTAGTCATGCCTATGCGTGTTTCTGATAATTACCATAACATTATATATTTATATATTTAGCGGTTGTACAAACACAAGGCCTCACACATGCCACTCAGACTGACAGACTTGACAAGTTTTACCAACCATAAAGACAGCTGAAGCTTTAAACATCACTCATAATGGATCTTGAATATTCCAACTGTAATTAGACATATCTAAGTTGCCTCAACAAATTCTGTGGCATTACTAAGTATAGTAAAGTTTCTGGTGCACTCTAAGATTAAGAGAGAAAACGGAGGACTTAGGCGTCCTGATGTGAGAGAAAACGGACTCCTATGACGGGGCACTCAAATAAAGAGAGACATAGCTACATGTTTTGAGGACTACCCACTTTACATTATCCTTTTCATCACTTTGTAATAAAACTAGCCATGCCTATGTGTGTTTATGATATTTACTATACAGTATATATATATATATATATATATATATATATATATATATATATATATATATATATATATATATATATATATATATATATATATATATATATATATATATATATATATATAAAATATAATATATATATATATATATAATAATATTAAAAAATATATATATATATTATATATATATATATATATATATATATATTTCATGTAGATCCACAATGAAACGTGGATAAGATAAATCTTGATAAAAACACACAGAAAGGGAAATAACGAGCACCTTAGCTTTCGCCTTTATTCGACATCTTCAGAGGCAACTGGATTACATGGACAGAGAGAGCTTAAATATAGGGACCTTATTAAACATGAGGTCAGTCATAATGATGTCATCCACTAACCCCACACCAACACACACGTAGAGCGAGAGCTTAAGAGAAGGGGTGACGTGACTAGTCAGGTCAGGTCAAAAAATAAGTGACCCACTAAATAACTATCATACATCTAGATCAAAGGTTTTCAAAGCACTTTAACCTTGGGCCACTGACAAATAAATTTATGTAACATATCAGTTTTGAACTGACCATCACTTAGGTTCATTGATTTTAATTCTTTAATCAAACTAGCTTCAACCAGAAGTCTTTCTGTGACACAAGATGATTTAAATACTTCTAAGTTTTTTCCCAAGCAATGGATGATTATTATTCTAACATGAACGAACAGGCACTGCTTTCAGATGCTGTTTTGATATTGTACTTCATGTTGTTTTGATTCTGAGCTGCAGTGTTTTTCCTGTCTGTCCTACATAATTACAATTACATTTGCTACATGGAATACAATAAACACTTCCATTTACATTCAAACTTGGGCTATTTCTATTAACATATTGGTAATGGTTGAGTCATACTTGAAAACAACATTAATATTTAGTAGCTTGAGGGACCGAACTAACGGGACAAATTCATGATGATAGGGCAGAGTCAAAATACTTGCCGAGGAATTTGCCTGGTTTGAGAGGAATGAAAGAATTTTAGTCTTTTAAACCAACGATCAACAAAACACAGAAGGGTACCCGAAGCTTTTGTGCAATGGAAACGAATGTGTTTCAATTCATCGCCAATAAATTCAGAGTCACAAACACGCAGACATCTTAAGAACATAGCAGAAAAACTGACATTTTGTAGACTCCAGGTGATCTGGATAAAAAGTGTATGAAACTGTTCACCTGTGTGGGCTTTCTGTATACCTTAAATTTGTAGTTTTGGCCATTTCTCATGATAAGCATATCAAGGAATGGAAGGGATCCATTTATTTCTCTTTCAATTTTGAATGTGATACTTGGGACAATATCATTGCTTGTCTAAAAATTCCAATGGGTCACTGTTTCTAGGCCAAAGACAAAGAACATCATCTACATATTCATACCATGGAGGAATAAAGTCCACTATATTGCAGTAATCTAGACTCAAAAACCTATATAAATACAGGCTAGAGGATAGAAAGACAATTACCCATGCTCATGCCAACATTTGCTTGTAGAACTTCCCATTTGCTCTAAACACATTAAGTTTCAGTTACGTGATAACTCTATCAATTTGAGGAAAGTATCATGTCTGGTAGTTAAATCTAACAGTTTAATTTATCTTTAAGAAATGAAAAGTTCTACAGGTACTCTAGTGAACAGTGAATTTACATCAAAACTTATTAATTCAAGTAAGGTTCATTGTGTTTTGAGTTTATCAATTAAATCACTGCTATTGTGTATAAGGGAATTAGATATTTGGCCTGTAAGAGGGGATAGCATCTTTACTCAGCCACTTGATAATTTGTGTAAGTAACAGAACCCACAGAACCTGTTTATAGGATTTAATGGATTGTTAAGTTTAATAAGCTGACTGAATCCATACATATAAGGTAAGTGGGATTGATTTGAGAGAGCTGTTTGGTGAGATCGGGTTCTTTTTCCATAACATCTTCATTTTGGAATTAGATAACTTATTAATATTTTCCAGGGGATCTTTCAGAAGCTCCATAATACGTGTTTTCATCACTGGCAATGAATTCATCTTATCATTGTAGTCACTTATCCAAAATTATAATAGCATTAGACTTATCAGCCTTGGTAATATGGACATTCTTATTTCTTTTCAAGTTTACTGCTGTTTCAAATCTTTTGGAATGTTTAAATGAAATTTTTCTTATGTAAAACATTATACAACCTTCAGCTATGGAAATATCTTTCATTTGTAATATCTGCCGACTTTATTCTTTCCAGTTGATTAAAACTTTAGCAATAGTAAGCCGGGATTAACGACCGGGTTGAGTGGTAGAAAACTTTCTACCAAAAACAAGAACAAGTTTCCTCATTTGTCTGTAGATCATAAGATGATAAGTTTATGAACAAATATGGATCACCTAATATGGTCCAGTAACTCTCACAAACAGAGCATTTAATTTGGCATTTAATCTTCTTTTTGGGCTTTGTTGCTCACTAAGAAGTTGATATACAAAATCACGAATGGTGTGCCATTTTCTATCACCCACAAACAGTGTTTTGCATAAGTATTTTACACTGAGCACTGTGTTTGAAGGCTAATTTCACACTATCACTTGAATTCTTGATAAGGGAATCCAGCAACACTTTATCCAACTCAGAGAACGCTTGATTGTCCAGATTTCTTAGTCTACTTGGAAGACAGGACTTGGGAACAATTTTATCATCTCTGCAATCTCTCAAAAACTTCAACTTGTTTTTGAGACTATGAGCCTGTATATTTAAGCCTCTCTCTGTCCATGTAATCCAGTTGCCTCTGAAGATGTCCTGAATAAAGACGAAAGCTAAGGTGCTCCGTTGTTTCCCTTTTCCCGTGTGATTTTATCAAGATATATATATATATATGTACACAGGCCGATTTTGTCAGTGTGCAAGTAAGGTAAGCTGCAGTGTGGAATATGGAATATAAAATATATATACAGCAAAATCTAAAGTAAGAGTGTTAGGTTAAGGTAGGTAAGGTTTGGTTGGTTCACATTTACTCTGATATAGTAGCTATTACAGTAAAGGTAGGTCCCGTAAGCCTTATGACATAGTGGTGGCAGAGTTGATAAAGCTCACTGCTGAATTAGCCTCACCTTACTACACACAGTCAGCAAGGCCAGCAGTACCTCAGTGACACTACTGGTCACAGTAACCCCCTGACACTACTGGTAACAGAAACCCCCTGACACTACTGGTCACAGTAACCCCTGACACTACTGGTCACAGTAACCCCTGACACTACTGTAACAGTAACCCCTGACACTACTGGTCACAGTAACTCATGACTGGTCACAGTAACCCCTGACACTACTGGTCACAGTAATCCCTGACACTACTGGTCACAGTAATCCCCTGACACTACTGGTACAGTAATCCCCTGACACTACTGGTCACAGTAATCCCCTGACACTACTGGTCACAGTAACCCCTAACACTACTGGTCACAGTAATCCCTGACACTACTGGTCACAGTAATCTCCCTGACACTACTGGCAGTAATCCCCGACACTACTGGTCACAGTAATCCCATACTGCTGGTCAAACTCGACACTACTGGTCACAGTAATCCCCTAACACTACTGGTCACAGTAATCCCCCGACACTACTGGTCACAGTAACCCGATGACACTACTGGTCACAGTAATCCCCTGACACTACTAGTCACAGTAATCCCCTGACACTACTGGTAACAGTAACCCCTGACACTACTGGTCACAGTAACCCCTGACACTACTGGTAACAGTAATCCCACACTACTGGTAACAGTAACCCCTGACACTACTGGTCACAGTAACCCCTGACACTACTGGTCACAGTAACCCCTGACACTGCACAGTATCCCCAGACTACTGGTCACAGTAACCCCTGACACTACTGGCACAGTAATCCCTGACACTACTGGTCACAGTAACCCTGACACTACTGGTCACAGTAATCCCCTGACACTACTGGTCACAGTAACCCCTGACACTACTGGTCACAGTAATCCCTGACACTACTGGTCACAGTAATCCCTCAAATTACCACGGTCACAGTAACCCCTGACACTACTGGTCACAGTAACCCCCGACACTACTGGTCACAGTAATCCCTGACACTACTGGTAACAGTAATCCCTGACACTACTGGTAACAGAATCCCCTGACACTACTGGTCACAGTAACTCCTGACACTACTGGTCACAGTAATCCCCTGACACTACTGGTCACAGTAACCCCCTGACACTACTGGTCACAGTAACTCCCTGACACTACTGGTCACAGTAATCCCACACTACTGGTCACAGTAATCCCCTGACACTACTGGGTAACAGTAACCCCTGACACCCAGGTCACAGTAACCCCTGACACTACTGGTCACAGTAATCCCCTGACACTACTGGCCAGTAATCCTGACACTACTGGAAACCCCCTGACACTACTGGTCATAGTAACCCCTGACACTACTGGTAACAGCAACCTCACTGGTCACAGTAATCCCCTGACACTACTACAGTAATCCCTGACACTACTGGTCACAGAACCCCTGACACTACTGAACAGCACCCTGACACTACTGGTCACAAATCTGACACTACTGGTCACAGTAATCCCCTGACACTACTGGTCACAGTAATCCTGATACTGCTGGTCACAGTAACCCCTGACACTACTGGTCATAGTAACCCTGACACTACTGGTCACAGTAATCCCTGACACTACTGGTCACAGTAATCCCCGACACCATCACAGTAACCCTACACATCATAGTAACCCTGTCAACTGGTCACAGTAATCCCCTGACACTACTGTTACAGTAACTTGATACTGCTGGTCACAGAACCCCTGACACTACTGGCACAGTAACCCCTGACACTACTGGTCATAGTAATCCCTGACACTACTGGTCACAGTAATCCCTGATACTACTGGTCACAGTAACCCCCTGACACTGTCACAGTAATCCCTGACACTACTGTCACAAACCCCTGATACTACTTCAGCAACCCTGACACTACGGTCAAGTAACCCCTGACATACTGGTCACAGTAACCCCGACACTACCGGTCACAGTAACCCCTGACACTACTGGTCACAGTAATCCCCTGACACTACTGCAGTATCCCGACACTACTGGTCACAGTAATCCCCTGATACTGCTGGTCACAGTAACCCCTGACACTACTGGTCACAGTAACCCCTGACACTACTGGTCATAGTAACCCCCTGACACTACTGGTCACAGTAATCTTGATACTGCTGGTCACAGTAACCCCTGACATTACTGGTCACAGTAACCTAATACTGCTGGTCACAGTAACCCCTGACAATACTGGTCACAATAATCCCTGATACTGCTGGTCACAGTAACCCCTGATACTGGTCACAGTAACCCCCTAATACTGCTGGTCACAGTAACCCCTGACATTACTGGTCACAGTAACTCCCTGATACTACTGGTCACAGTAATCCCTGATACTGCTGGTCATAACCCCCTAATACTGCTGGTCACAGTAACCCCTACATACTGGTCACAGTACCCTGATACTACTGGTCACAGTAACCCCTGATACTATGGTCACAGTAATTCCTGACACTGCTGGTCACAGTAACCCCCGACACTACTGGTCACAGTAATCCCTGATACTGCTCGTCACAGTAACCCCTGACACTACTGGTCACAGTAACCCCTGACATTACTGGTCACAGTAATCCCCTGATACTCGGTCACAGTAACCCTGACATTACTGGCCAGTAATCCCCTGATACTGCTGGTCACAGTAACCCCTGACATTACTGGTCACAGTAACCCTGACACTACTGGTCACAGTATCCCTGACACTACTGGTCACAGTAATCCCCTGACACTACTGGTCACAGTAACCCCTGACATTACTGGTCAAGTAACCCCTGACACTACTGGTCACAGTAACCCCTGACACTACTGGTCACAGTAACCCCTGACATTACTGGTCACAGTAACCCCGATACTACTGTCACAGTAACCCCCTGACACTACTGGGCACAGTAATCCTGATACTGCTGGTCACAGTAACCCCTGATACTACTGGTCACAGTAAACCCCTGACACTACTGGTCACAGTAACCCTGATACTACTGGTCACAGTAACCCTGACATTACTGGTCACAGTAACCCCTGACACTACTGGTCACAGTAACCCCTGATACTACTGGTCACAGTACCCTGACATTACTGGTCACAGTAACCCCGATACTACTGGTCACAGTAACCCCACACTACTGGTCACAGTAATCCCTGATACTGCTGGTCACAGTAACCCCTGACATTACTGGTCACAGTAACCCCCTGATACTACTGGTCACAGTAACCCCTGACACTACTGGTCACAGTAACCCTGACACTACTGGTCACAGTAACCCCTGATACTGCTGGTCACAGTAACCCCGACATTACTGGTCACAGTAACTCCGATACTACTGGTCACAGTAACCCTGACACTACTGGTCACAGTAACCCTGACACTACTGGTCACAGTACCCCTGATACTACTGGTCACAGAACCCCTGATACCGCTGCAGTAACCCTGATACTGCTGGTCACAGTAACCCCTGATACTGCTGGTCACAGTAACACCTTGATATTACTGGTCACAGTAACCTCTGATACTGCTGGTCACAGTAACCCCCTGACACTACTGGTCACAGTAACCCCCGATACTATCACAGTAACCCCTGACATTACTGGTCACAGTAACCCTTGACACTACTGGTCACAGTAACCCTGACACTGCTGGTCACAGTAACCCCTGATACTACTGGTCACAGTAACCCCTGATACTGCTGGTCACAGAACCCCTGATACTGGTCAGTAACCCCCTGATACTACTGGTCACAGTAACCCCGACACTACTGGTCACAGTAACCCCTGATACTGCTGGTCACAGTTTCTGATATTGCTGGTCACAAAACCCCTGATACTACTGGTCACAGTAATCCTCTCATACTACTGGTCACAGTAACCCCTGATACTACTGGTCACAGTAATTTCATACTGCTGGTCACAGTAACCCCTGATACTGCTGGTCAGTAACCCTGATACTGCTGGTCACAGTAACCCCGATATTACTGGTCACAGTAACCCCCCGATACTACTGGTCACAGTAATCCCTGATACTACTGGTCACAGTAACCCCCTGATACTACTGGTCATAGTAACCTCATACTACTGGTCACAGTAATCCCGATACTGCTGGTCACAGTAACCCTGATACTACTGGTCACAGTAACCCCTGATACTACTGGTCACAGTAACCCCTGATACTACTGGTCACAGTAACCCCTGATAATACTTCACAGTAATCCCCGATAATACTGGTCATAGTAACCTCATACTACTGGTCACAGTAATCCCTGATACTGCTGGTCACAGTAACCCCTGATACTACTGGTCACAGTAACCCCGATACTACTGGTCACAGTAATCTGATACTGCTGGTCACAGTAACCCCTCATATTACTGGTCACAGTAACCTGATACTACTGGTCACAGTAACCCCTGATACTACTGGTCACAGTAATAGTAACATGACATTTTATTTGTCACAAGATTCAAGAGGACAGACAATAAATTTATGTCCAAAATTTATGATAAGTCATCCTCCTCAATTGAAATGTGGCTGGTAGTGGTTCAAGGTCAATGTCTGCTATTAGTCACTGTATTACTCTGTATTATATTATCTCTTCTTGTACTCTATTATAATTAACATGGTCCTTTTATTGTACTGTACTGTACTATATGCAATTCTACATTAAACAGATTTTTTTTAATCTTTATTTAAGTAGATTTGCTTTTTATGAAGTATTTTAGAATGTCTAGGACTATAGATTCACAAGAATCCTGTAAATGTACTCTAACAGATAATTTTTAAGAAAATCAATCTTGATGAAGTCTCACTATAATTCAAAAGTAATGTAAGTCATTTTGCATTTTATCCTTAGTCAAAGAGCTGAATTCTTACATCTCAAGTTACGAGGAAAATTAAATGAATGAACTTTAACGTGACCCCAATTCCAGGGCGCTTTGAACACAGAGCACCAAGTTTTATCAAGGTTTACTGTATATTGTATCACTGTTAATGTCAACAAATAACTGCACTATACTGTACCTTAAGTCCCATTGCTCTTGCCAGATTCATAGCTTCATGTGCCATGGTAGAGAAGGCCGAATGGCCATGAACGATGTCTCACGTAAGAAAATGTTTCGCAGAAGTGGAATGGATGTGATGATGGTGGGAAGGACGGACTGACTGTAAAATCGCATTGGGAGATAGTAAACCTGGAAAAACAAAATTATTGGACCACCTTTAGATTAAGCACAGTAGCTTATTTCACTTGATAATTAAATGTTTTTATTCCCACTTTGTTTACACCCATGCTGGGTTCTAATTTGTCTACTACTATTTCACCTGTGTAATGAACTGTACTGTACCCTGAGAATGTCACATATTCCCTGGCTGTCTACTATCCAGACATGGCCCAGGAAATCATAATCTGCATTTGTTATTACTTACACTGTGTTCATGTACAGTACTGTACTGCAGTTATCATAATTGATTCACTTATTTTATCTGGTGTTGAAATTGATTACAGTGCATTCTTCTATTTAACATTGCAGCAATCATAATTGTAATTTCACCTTAAAATCAAATAATAATCATTATTATTATTTTGAGGATTCGTTGACTATTCCCTTATATTTATGAAATGTCAACACATTCCTAGCTACTGGTATAATACCTAGAGAGGCTGCTTGCTGCCACTAATGAGTTCTGGTTCATTTCAATGACAAATTTAATACTGTATATGCAAAGATATAACTGTTTGAAAACATTAACTTTCAGGATATGAGTGAAAATAAAATTTTTAAATTAAAATTTTGAAATAAAGATGATTTACTGTCGACATCACAAACAAATTCACAGTTTCAGAGAAGCGAAGTTCTTAGCCTAGTACTGTAGCTAAGAAAAGGAGAAAAAAAAAAAAAATACAGAACAGTAGTAAAAATCCGGATGACAGAAAACGGACCCACCTAAAATCGGACTTTCCAAAACTTTTTTAGCGGGCTTTTTGTGTCTTTTTGTCGTGGCGCCACAGCTACAGAACAACCATGACCGCGTCATTTAACACTTAAGCAACAATCAAACTGTGACAACATACCATATATATAATCTACCCCCTAGTTTATAGGTAAATGATTTTTGAAATCGTTAATTTATGATATTCTCTAAATTTAGATTCGATACGTTTTGAGGTAATGGAACAACAAAACCTTCTGTAAAAACATACATCCTTTAAACCGAGGGCTGCCCGTGCCTGAACCAAGTGCGAAAAATTGTTTACCATTTATTATTACGGCTGCAAGCAGGTAGTTTCAACCAAAAATATTGTATATTTCCATTCAAATATTTATTCAAGTCAATTTGGAGGAATATTATTGTAATACAACAGTTTTTACTAAACCATTGGCGATTACAATAACATCTTTTGAACGGCGAAGTCATTGTTTTCGTCGATTTTATCCACTTTCCACTATGTCGTCGTCATTTTCAGCAAAAATATTACATTTCCGTGAGCGATATTATATCAAGCACAGTATGAATAGAATATCATTGTAATATACTGTAACAGAATTTTAACTGAAAACTATTACAAAACAGAGTAACATCTCAAGAACATCGGAGCTTAGGTAAAGTCTTTTGTTTTTTCGCTGTATTTATCTATTTTACATTGAAATACATCGTTTCCAAAAACTACTATTTATTTCGAGAATCTATTCATTCAAGGCAGTTTAGGTAAAATATACGTGTGATGTAATAGTTTTTAACTGCGATTAAAAAATCATTACCCTCTAGCCCTGTTCAAGGAGAGGACGGGAGAAGCTGTTTGGTGCTGCAGACAATGACAAGGAAAATGATTTTGATGGATTTTAATGAAAATATTCAGAAATATGGTATGTAGTATTTATTCAAGTCAATTAGGATAGAATATTATTGTAATACAACAGTTTTTAACTGAAAACCATTGAAAGCGATGCAGTATCTTTTGAACGAAAGAAAGCGAAAGTCATTGTTTTAATCACGCATTATCCCACTTTCACTGTCGTACGTCATTTCCAAAAATATTACATTTCCGTGAATGCATTATATCAAGCACAGTATGAATAGAATACCATTGTAATATAACAATATTTTGGTCCTACTCTTTCCATTTGCAGAGTACTGTACAAGCCATAATAATGGCTCCTAAAGTAGATAAACTTCGTTGTGTGAAGAAAAGAAGAACATGTTGAAATTGAGTGACAAACTTGAAATAATTAAGAAACTAGAATGTGTTGTGAGCAATACTATTCTAATAATGGAAACATCGACATTGGAAAGTCTACAATTTATGATATAAAAAAGGCAAAGAATAAAATTATAGAATTCACAGCTTTTCATTAAAACTGCTCGTTTTGATAAATGAAGCATGCTATATTTGCTAATGAATAAACTATCAAAATGCACCTGTTCATCTCTTCTTTATTCCTCCTTAAATTTGAATTTTAAAAGTACTGCCTGAGAATCCGAAAATCCGGACCGACCCAATCCCCAAGCAGTCCGGATTTTTGGACTTCTACTGTACAGTATATTATCTGGGAGTTTCATCATTATCAGGTGAAATATGCTGGGGTGCCTACCTATAGTCCAGTAGAATTTCCACCATTTGAGGGCAAACCCGTTTTATTTTTTTAGTTACTCCAGGGGTTTCAGCAGGCCATAAAAATTTAACTTTGATCACTGGGCTCTGTCTCTCATTAAATATTGCGCGCTCAGCATTAGAAGGGAGTGAAGAGCAACCCTGGGCAAAATTAATTTTTTTTTATGGATATCCTATTTTCACCCTTCCTCTCCATGTTGGCGTTGGATGTAACCCTCTAGTTAGAACAGAAATATGGTCCTTCAAAAATAAGGTGCGATTTCCCCTCAAGCCGGGAGCTACGTATCTGGCTCAGTCAATGAAGGTGGTTACGTCCCGTTCAGAGTGAGAGGAGCACGAGCCAATGACAGTGCGCCTCCCTCGGACCATACCCCTAGGCAGCCAATCACAATGGATTTCCCCTTGCTAAAGCCACGCGCCCAGATGCTGCCTCCTTGTTAGTTTTGGAGCGTTGTACAGCATAAAAAGGTTCAATGATTATTATTTCATTTTTGAGGTTTATGAGGGGGGTAAAGACGAGTGCTGTTTTTGGTGATTATTAACTTGTTTTACAGTATTAGCCCACAATAATAAGACAATTTTGCAGAAAAACACGATTATTGTTGGTTTGAAGATCAAACAACTGTACATCACGGGTAGTTATTCTCAATCAACTCATGATAAAATAATAACTATTAACAGAACTAACTTCCAGTTTTCACACTTCACTAGGAGATTAAGCTGCACGATAAAAAAAAATCTCTCTCTAGCTTAAAAAACAATAAAGTTATGGTTGTTTGAACTTAAAAAAACTTTTAAAAGCGTTTTTCTCCGCTTTTTAAATTTGGCTTCTCACTTTCTTGGAGTGCCTCATATCTCCACTTGTACAACATGCTGTGCCAAGACCTAGGCCCCATGTTATCTGGAAATAATATATTTTCTTCATTTTCAATATGTAATCTATTCATGTTCATCATTTTGAATTAATGTTAATATCATTTCCTGATCTTGTTATGCATTATGATAGCCATAATGTTGTTCACTTTTATCCTCTTCAAAACTAATCGGCTATTTAGGCACCGAGGTCGGTCACATCTTCTGCTAACACTGTTGGCATGGCATGCACCGCCTGTCGTGGTACTGAACCTGCTCCAGTGTTGGTCCGTCTGGTCTTGTGAGTTCACGCCGTGCCGTCACAATGCTCTTAGATGAGTAATGGGTAATGGTAACAGAAGAGAGATGTATGTAACTATACCTTTAATATATGTATCCAGTAGTGCTTGGCAGCCACTTGGAATTTTTGTTCCTAAATCAGTTTCCCAAAATGTTGATTTAAATTGGTATTTTCTATGGCCCACTACAACCCCTAGCAGGAATATAAAAGTAAAAAACATGTCTACAGAAATTGTCCAGGTTCAATGCAGATTCTAGTGAACTACTGTACTACCAGTACTTTAGGTGATCCAAATTATTTGAAAATGTCTTATAAGGATAATATTACCAAGAACTGTACATTTGGGACACAGGAACCCAGTTTATTTGGAGAGCAGGAGGTTAGGTTAGGTTAGGTCCTAACCACCCTGGCCCAAACATCCTACATTCAGTTTATTCAGACAGGTGACTTGGCCTTCTAACCACACTGTCAACATGCTTCAGTGCCTCCCTAAGAATCTCTCCAGAGGAAACTTTGGTGAAAGAATACAGGTATAGTATTGGTTATTGTGCCATGGTAACTATGGTGCAAATATCATAATACTGTACAGTGAAACCTCCATATGACGAACTTCTCTCTCCATATAACCCATTAGATGGATTTCATGTAATGAACCCTCAGTATTACAAACTTTCACCTCTATACATATACAGGGGCACCCCGGGTTACAAACAAGTTCCGTTCCTGAGGATGCCCTTTAGTCAGTTGTCATGATCGTAATGACGGCTAGCCTGTTAAACTAATGATCCATATTACGCTTACACGTCCACAAAACCTTCTGAGTCTCCCAGTGTGAATGTCCTCCGTTCTCCCTGTTTCTTTAATGACATCATCGAGATGTCGTATGTTTGTTGACTGTAGTTGTAAACTCTTCGCTAAGAACCTGTAAACCTTTTTTCACCTATGATTAGCAGAGACTCTGATAATTTTAGTGAAATTGTGGTAGGGAGGTTAACTGAGGAATGAGTTGATATTTCTGAAGGGAGCCTTTTAAAATCTGCTACTCAGGTTGTAGCAAGGCATTGCATGTTGGGACCTGTTGCCATCCAACCTTGTTATCAATTTAATTCTTGCTTTTGATAGCTCAGTCAGAGCATTGTTTGTAAAGATAATAGTAGGGAATGAAACTGAGTTCGTGAGGCTCAGTTTCAAACGTCAGTGTGTTACAGTAACGTAATCCAGTTAAATGGTTGAGTAAGTGCCGTGACTTTAGCGGGGTGGAAGGCGCGAACCTGTGAGCCGCCACGCTTCCTCCCCACAGGTCACCCACCTTCTCCGTGTTGTAATTCGCCATTTTTAAGTGATTTGACCTAACTAATAGTTTGTTTGTGCTAGTGTTAAAGTAACGTAGTTAATGTGCTTTGAGTGAAGTATTTTATGTCCTTATTAATGTCCTTGAAACGTTGGTTTGTTATGAACAGTGAGCCGCCACGCCTCCTCCCACAGGTCCCTATCGCAGCCTAGCCAGTCTGCAGCGTGGATGACACATCCACTAGCCTGGGGAGATGTCTGAGGTCCAGGAATCGGGTATCCTGTGAACCCCGACCGTCAGAAGCTCCACTACCACCTATAGGGGCCTAGCTGGCCAGTATTCCCCTGACGCCATGCCCTGTGGTGAACCCGGATCAATCACGCCCACAACCAATGCCAGCCCCATCATTGGTGGATGAGTACATGCACATAGCTCTGTAACGCTATGTGTGGTGGTGCTAGTCCACCGAATTATCGGAGGTGTCACTTGGTGATGAGACTCTTGCCGCTGGTGTTGTTTTTGCAGGTGCTACTGCTTGTGTGTTTTTTGTGAGCAATGGTGCGTGAACTAAGCCTCCTGAGGCAGTACCAGGAGTTCCTATTTTGCATACAGCATCTTTCCTGTAAACTTTTTGTGTCTCAATAAATGTATTTGAGTGGGTCATGATTCACCTATAGTATTCACCTCTTCTCCCTAACACTGATACTATATTTACATGAACCCATGTTCCTCTCTATCACGCTAAGGTCATTGTCAAGAGTGCCGCCTCACAGGGTGGCAGCTCGTGTTGCGCGTTCTTACAATTGGTGGCCTCAGTGGTCCAGCAGTAAGTAGGAGCAACCCGCTATCATACACAGTAATGTACGTAAGTCGGAACACACACCCTATGTTCGCTATATCACAGCCTAAGTCATTTCATACATCTTCAATCACCTAATTTAAGAGTATAGAAAAAATTGAATGACAAAATACAATAAAGGAAAGTAAAAATAAAAGTATAACTTTCATTAAAACCTTGGGCTGGCTGATCTTCCACCCATATCACTAATGATCTTTCCATTTCAATTAACAATCCACTTCTTTGTTTTGTTATCACAGTTGAGTACATTGGTGTAGATCCTTTTACATATTCAAGAATTTTCTCTTTGTCTTTCAAAATTATTCCAACCATTCATCAACTGAAGCCCAACACTTTACCAATGACTGAGGGTGTTTTGCCTTTTTCAGAACATTTAATTACATCAACTTTCACTTCCATTGTAATTGTTTTCCTTTCTTGGATGCACTACTATCACTTGCATCAGGTCTGCATTTGGGAGCCATGATAAGGGCAAAAAATAGAGTTAATAAGCAAAAAAACAACAGTTTGCACTTGATCATACATGTTACATTGGTGAGAGTAAGGTGTACTGACACTCCTCAGCGCACGCTACAAGTGGGGCTGGGTGATGCATTACTCCCCACCCGTCGTTACGCCTAGTCACTACGACACGCAAACTAGTTCTCGAGGGTTAATACTAAGAGCCAGTTGTACCTATTGTTAATATGATTATAATAATGCTATGACTTGTTTGTATTGCTAGTTGTTTGTAGCATGATATTGTTTTGATGCATGGCTTTGGTGTTCCAGGTACATGGTGGGGCTTAAAACATATTCTGAAACCAATGAACTGTGTTTTGATTTGATCACTGGTAGCAGAGCGTAGTTATCAATTGAGAAGATGGCCTCAAGTCGAGACAATAAGGCCCCACCACCGATGAGGAAAGATCTGCCCTACAGCGAGTGGAAGCATGAGGTCCTAGTATGGAGAACCTTCACTCACCTGGAGAAAAAGAAGTTAGGCCCTGCATTGTTCCTGTCACTGGATGGTTCTGCACGTGATGCAGCTTGATGATTTAAACAGTGACAATTAATGATTTAAACAGTGACAGTGATACTGATGTGCTTTTGACTAAGTTGGACAATTTGTTTAAAACAAAAACAATGCTGCAATTGAAGCATATGAAAGATATCAGCGCCCAAGTGATATGCACATATTTGACTATATAAATACGCTTGAACAACTGTATCAAAGAAGTGTGTAGTCCTTTTCACTTGTGCGGTTAAGCGAGCTATACACCTGGAGACTGTTACTGATCTATCAAGTGAAACATTCCTCCACACTTTGTGCAGATTCAGTAGCAGAAGAGGATACCCTCAAATATTAATGAGTGATAATGTTACCACTTTTGTTAGCGGTGCTAAAATCCTAGGAGAATTAATGAATAACATAGGACTAGGAAATATATTAGCAGATCTTAGAAGTGAGTGGCACTTTAGACCTGCTAGAGCACCTTGGTTTGGAGCAATCTGGGAGAGGTCCATAGGTACCTTGAAATCAGAACTTAAAAAGGTAATGGGACAAGCCATGGTTACAGTTAATGAATTAAATACTGTTTTACTGGAACTAGAAGCTGCAATAAATGACTGACCCTTGAGTTATGTCTATAGTGATCTCGAGGACCCATAGCCCCTCACCCATTTTCAGTGTTTATTTAATTCGTTTAATGCAATGTAAATATTTCTTGTCCTGATATCAACCAATTCAAGGCAAAATTGATGACTTCTTCTGGTGTGGTACACCTCATTTTCAAGAGGACGTCAATTACCAAAAATTGAAGTATTTTCTTTGGGATCTGAAGAGTCTGGAATCTTCAAGTACCTGGGATTGTATATCGATCAACAGCATGATAAGAGGATTATCATACACCAAAATCCTCAAGTGGATGAGTTAGTGGAGCCGCAGATCAGCCCTGAAAGAAGTAAGCAGAAAGAAGATGACCTCACTGATGCTGAAATTACTGTTCTCCGAAGAACCTCTGGACGTGTGAACTGGCTAGCATCTCGGACAAGACCTGATCTCAGTTGATGTGTGCGATATATCTTGTTCAGTCAAGAATGCCAAAGTGACTGATTTACAAAGAGATGCAAAGATTATCAAAAAAGCACAGTCCAGACAAGTGTGTATGAAGTTTCCCAATTTGGATCTCACCAAGAGCTCAATTGTTGTCTTCAGTGATGCAAGGTATGGAAATTTACCTGATGGATCATCCCAGGGCGGCTACATCATATTCCTCACGATGAAACTGGAAGCTGTGTGCCACTAGTATGGTCGTCTACCAAAAATAAGACATATAGTGAGAAGCACACTGGCTGCTGAGTGCTTGGCACTGCAGGATGGAGCTGATAATGCAGTCTTGATATCCTCCCTTATATCAGAGATCCTGTATGGTGGCACTATAGCCATTAAAAATATAAGCGCAGGGGTTTGTGCAGATAGCTTTATTCCACTAAGGCTGCCCAGAACAAAAGGCTAAGAATAGATATTGCAGGTTTCACCAGATGATAAACAGAGAGGAACTGTCTCAGGTGGTTGGGTTGATAGGATGGAGCAGCTGGCTGAGTGTTTGACTAGGAGAACTGCACCTTCCTCTTTTCTGTTGGCTGTTTTACACAAAGGCAAACTCTAACTTAGTGGCGTATACCATTATTATGTTATGCCTATGTGAAGCTTATTTGTTATTCAGCTTATTTGTTATTGCATTAACGAAATCATACTTATTGTTTTGTTTCATAACTGATAATTGAAATTGTGAACGAAAAATAACCTGTACGTAATCTAATGGATATCTTTTGTATTAAAGAACAAAAAAGGAAATATTTTTAATATGATTACAATAATGCTGTGTTTTGTTTGTATTGCTAGTTGTTTGTAGCATGATATTGTTTTGATGCATGGCTTTGGTGTTCCAGGTACATGGTGGGACTTAAAACATATTCTGAAACCAATGAACTGTGTTTTGATTTAATCACCTCTGTCGGATTCGTTAAATAATTGACCTTATGGAACCTTGTTCGTATCGGCAGGTGTTCGTAAGATGGACGTTAACTCGGGGACACCCTGTAGTTCGGCAGATGGAGGTTTCACATCTAGTGGACCCTCAGTATAATGGAATTCCTTCTCCATATACAGTAGTCCGTTAAATAGAGGTTTCATGGTATTAAAATAAGCTTGAATATTATGTCATCACCATGGCCAAGGCAAACTACTTTAAATTACAGTACATTGAAATAAGGTTATGGGATAGTTTACCTTCAGCCCATTAGTCATGTAGCGTACACCTCTCCTGTCCCCATAAACATGTGTAATGACAATGACCTTAGACCACGACAGAGGAGACATTGAGATAACTGGAAGATGTGTTCTCAACTCCTCCAACATTAGGGTAGAAGAAATCTGACACCATGCTGAAGAGAATATACATATGAAAAATTTTAGTAAGACAAAGTTTTAATACTGATCATCATAATGCTTTGTGCATAACCTGTTATTAAAAAGGATTTCACTCCACTTGTTTCTACACTTTCAGTATATTACATCCTACTTAAAATACTAAGGAAAACAAAATCTTCATTCAGATATTTCTTTCAATGTAAAAAATAATGAACCAAGAAAGACTTCATCTTCAATAGAAACTTGCTCCAAAATTCCTGGTCATTCTGTGAAACTGTTGTTGAGTATTACTGGTAAGCCCATGGAAGTGGATCAGTTGAAGCTATGGAGGCAAGAACAGTACTGGGCTTCAATTTGCCCTGGGGTAGACTATCAAGAACAATTGGAGGATCCCACACAGTACAGTACCCTACCATGGCCACCTCTAGTTGTGGTAGATCAGCTAGGCATGTATATAGCTAACTACTGTAAATGTCTTATTTCAGCAGGAAAGAACCTTTGAGTGATAAAGACTATAAAGTTCTGCAGTAATCAATGGTTCATTCTTGTTGAAATCTTATATTGTTCAATGATTTTTTTTATCAATTCATCAAAACATCAAATGCATGGTTGCCACAGACTTCTTACTCTTTCAGATAATATTATGCAACACTGATTTTTTCTTAACCAGCAACTTAAGAAAAATTTCTATAGAAAAAAGTTGTGTTGTCTCTTGAATACTGTACCCTAAAAGACATGGAGAAATTACAAGTCTTCCAATTTTTTGGTTTTCTAGATTTTGTTTGAAATACATTCCATCAAACAAGGACACCATGTTTGTGTTTCACCTGCTAACATATACTTCCCAGTCACCAAACACTTTCCAGCAACCTTTCCATACCTCACCTATCTGATGCTACCAAACCTAACCTAACCTAACCTAAAATATTACAGTTAACTTGAGTTTTATTAAAAAAAGACAATAAATGTAGCATTACCCCCACTGTTTGTGCTGTTGGCTGAATATTTTGGTTGAATCACTACAAACCAGGGCTTATGTGTGTGATCTTCAAATGCTGGGAAGGAACATTACATACAGTACAGTATTGAAATCATACAATGCTAATTAGGGGAAGCTCAAGTTTAGGTAGATTAGTTTGGTTTACTGTATATATTAATACTAAATTCTACAATGTAACACAACATGTTAAATACAAAATTAGCAATTGGTGGTTATCAGAGAGAACAGTACTGTATTACGGTATAAGGACTACCTATTACCTTTATAAATTAACTAACAAACAAACACAATTCTTACTAAATGATCTGTTTCACTAACCATATCACATGCCGTGTTCTTCTTTCATGGACTTCCATTAAGCTCAACTTGACTTCTAACATTCACAAGATGTTGACGGGAGTATACATCCTCCTACCTCTTGTACACTTAATTCTCTTTATATGTTTTCTTCTTTTTTCCATGATATCCCCTTAGTACTGTCCATCAATTATAAGTTGTCCCCTGTTCTGGAATAAGCAATGATCAAGATTACTGTTCTGATACAAAGAGTCAAAGTGAAAGAGTAAATGTACTAGATCGCTAGAAACAACGGCAACGCACTATGGTGTGATGCACGAGACATGGATCATTAAAATAAAATACCCCAGTGAAACCTACATGTAACGGATTCCTTTTTCCATACAATCCCCGAGATGGAGGCCTCACATCTAACAGACTTTCGATATACAGTAATGGGTTTTCATATTTATACAGTTCATTAGATGGAGGTTTCACTTATAAAGGACTCTTGATATAACAGACCTTCTTCTCCTTATAGGCCATTAAATAGAGTTTTGACTGTAACAGAACCTAACTAGGCTTTATTCATCTTATAATTGTCTTACAGCAATACAATAGTATCTGAAACAAAAGGATATAACAAAACGAGATTATAGAATACTGAAACACAGAAGGGACATTTAGGCAATTGCAAAATGATAGTGCAGTACGGTAATTCCTTATCCATATAGCTATACAAAAACGAAAAGCATTACATCCCTTAGACATAAATTAATTACATAAGAACAATATCGAGGTAAACCTCACATCCATACTGTATTACAATAAGGCCATACAAGTAATAAAGAATTTGGCAAGACGATTCTGCATCATCTCAGCAGTAAGAAAAATAGAGGGAATAGAGGAGAGGATAATCTCAGTGGAAGTGAAATAAATCCGAAGTAGAAAACAATGTTAGTAATATACTTCACACTGTGCATGAATGATAAATTCTCAAACTATGAGATCTGTTTCTACAGCTGATATCATTTCATCTATCAATGAGGATCTGTGCAACATCTCCGAATGAGGAGGTAGAAAATTGGTTAAATTCAATAGTAAGAAAAATCAGTATTTACCAATTACACTTTCCAAATTAGATGATTTCCCACCAATCATATTTCAGGATGCAGTCATTGTGCCAAGTTCTAAAATAGATATGCTAAGCCTCACCATTTCCTCTAATATGTCATGGAAGCCACACATCCACAACATTGCTAAAGCTGCCTCCCAAAAGCTGGGAATGCTGTACAGATGCCATAGCTACTTTACTCCTGAGCAGTTGCTTCAAGTTTATAAGGGTTTCAATCATCCTAACTTGAAGTACTGCTCTCATATCTAGGGTGGCTCTTGTGTCCAACTGTTAGATAGGGTGGAATCAAAGGCATTTCGTCTTATTAACTCTCCTCCTTTAGTTGATAATCTTTCTTCCCTTTCTCTTCTACACAATGTTGCTTCACTCTCTCTCACTCTTTTACAGGTACTTTAACGGGCAATGTTCGTGGATTTGGTATCCTGTGTACCAACCGCAAGGCCATGGGTTCAGAACACTCGGTTTTTCTTGCCATGGTGCCACCCATTTCTCTTGATGTTGGTCACACTAGATTAACCCGTTATAGTACATCCTTCTTTCCTCACACAGCCAAAACTGTGGAATGTTCTGCCTCTTCTGTGTTTCCACACTCATACAATCTGTCTCACTTCAAAAACTGGTTTTCTGGCATCTTCGTGGTGTAGATTAATATAATCTTTTCTTCTATTTAATTTACTTTACTCTTATATTTTTTGCCCCAGGCCCCTTAGGTCCATGACCTGTGCCCGGGTGGGCTATTCCCCCAGAAAACAAAAAAACAAAAATGGTTAAACAGATCCTCAAAGGAGAGCAGAATTTCATAAAAGTTAAAGAATTACATGTTGGAGTAAATGAAAACCTTCAGGTTGACTAAGCAGACAATGAGAACGTAGTTAGATTAAATAAAGGAGGCTTAGGATCTGTTCATAGACCCAGGCCTGTGTGTGTAAAGCTCAAATCAATTAAGAAAAAGTGAAACACTTAGTACAGCAAAACATTTAAAAGGCTGCTAGAGAGGAGTCTGAATTGAAGAAAAGGGAGCTATGCAGTATACTGTATTGCCCCAGATAATGCATACTGTATAAGCAAACAAAACCATACAAGAATAAATTTATGGAGAACTTAAGAGAAGAAAGGCACAAGGAGAACAAGATAAAATCATACAAAACTTCAAAGTTGTGAATGAGAAATTTTTGCCAACCAGGAACTTAGTACATGTACAGTACATACAGTACATTACTTTGAATCCATTGCACCCCTCCTCTCAGTCTCCACAGTGACAAAGAACACATTTTTTCAAGTCCCATGCAAATGTAATACAGAGGTAATAATTAAAGTTCAATTGTATTTAATCTGGATTTAATGGGAGGGTTGGCAGTGATTCTTCTCCACAAACTTTTGAATTCTTGTTGAGGTCAAAGAAAGATCGAACTGCAAGTCATTTTCAACAATTAGTCCTTTTCAATACTTAAGTCTTCACAGTAACAAGACTGTCTCACAAAGGTGGGTGGAAGAAAATAGAACAATCACTTATAATTCATGCCAACTAAGATTTGGATAAAGAGGCAAAGATTTCACCCACAACATTTTTCCAATGGTAGGATTTTGAAATTGTAATGGATACAGGTAGTGCAGCCATATCAAAAAATCACATCGGATATACTGTGGTTACGGCAGCTGTACCGATGTACTGTGTTGTTAATAGTTAGGTTAGTTAAGGTTAGGCCAATTAGTAACTATCATTGTAAAGTCTGCCTACCATGCATACGCATTAGCCTGTCATATCAATAAACATTGACGTTTTGCATGCAGCTGCCGTACCTATATCCTGTGCCTTTTATATCATCTTCTGCAGATGAAATGAAGGTTTGACAATTATAGAGAATGTTTTAAGAATTTTATGAGAACATCAACAATATGAGATCTGCACTCTCACACACACACTTCTTTCTGTATTATTATCCTTTCAGGGATCCAGGGATTTTTAGTATACAGTAATATATATTTTTGTATTCAGTAGCTTAGACAATTCTAAGAGAGTTTTCTTCTATGGCATTTTGCCCACTCATAAATACTTTCAGAGAAAATTGCATTAAATTTTTGGAAAAAAAAAATCAGAGATATGGTTGATGTTAACACCATCCTGGAGAGCTCTTGTGTGTTCGCTTGTTGGTAATTAGGCTAAATTACACATGCGCTAGACTATAGTCTGACACATGAGCAGGTGTTCTTTGCAAGAATCTGACACATTCATTGGTGGGTATGATTTTGGATCAACCAATCACAGCTCGGTATAGGCCCCTGTCGCGACCCCCTTGAATTTGAATTTATTTCCAAGACGCCTTTGTGCAATGACTGCTATGTAGATTACTCTGCACCCTGAAAATTTCACATTGAGTATTACAGTAAGGATGATGAGGCGCTGAAATTTCTCCAGGAACACGGTATGTTACCAACTGAGGTTACGCGGCACAACCTGTAACCAGCCCTGTAGCTATTAAGCTAACAAACACCTTTAGTACTGTGGAAGGAGCAATGCCGTCCGGAAGTCGAAAAAACGGAAGTGTAATTGTTAAGTGTCACACTATAAAGGAACACTTTTAAACGGTACATATCTGGAGAC